GGCAGGAGCCATGTGGAATGCATTCCATTGAGATGATGGAAAAATTGCAGTTATTTTTCAAAGAAAAACCTTTAATGACAGAATCATTGCAAGACAGGAGTTTAAGAAACTGAAAGGAAAGATTGTTGCAAGAATCATGTATATCTATTTTGAAATTTCACAAATTAAGGCAAAATTAGTGTTGTAAAAAATATGATCAGAGATCAAATGTTTGAAAGTGAATGAGAACTACTTGAACCTTAGCAGATATCAGCAACCATGAAGCAAAATATCTAGTGGCTAATAAAATCTGAGGGATTTCAGGAAAAGTAGAGATAGGATCTGAAAGTGCCATGTGAAGCCAGCAAACACTGCCTTCCGATTCTCTGCCTGGCCAGGGGCAGCCCACATGAGAACTGCGGCAGAGAAGCATCCATCTCTGAGAAGTAAATGGACACAGTGTCCTCCAGAGAAAGACACATTTCCTCTGAACAAAAAAAGTAAATGGAACACTTGGAAAACTGAATTTTAGTTCATGGAAAGGGTTTCAGTCATTGAAGAGAAATGGGAGAATAAAGATAATTCTTACCAGCTTGTAATTTCACATATACTTTTATTCAGTGTTGTAAAAGTTATGAAACTTTTCCTCTATGCAATGAAACAGACAAGGGTGCCACTTGTAATCATTGTTATATTTCCTGTGGTCATTTTATTATTCCCATAAAACTTCTATGCTTGTTTCTTTCTCATTCACATTTTTCCTGTTTAGAAGTTCACTATTCTTTTTAAGTCATGTTTTGTGCTCCCATATCCTCATTACCTCTCAATCTTTTCTTGGACATCATCTTTCTTGCTATTTTCTGTCTTTTACTGTTTTAAAATCACCTGGCTACTGTTTTCCTCACTGCATTCCTTACTTTAGCAACAGTTGGGAAAAAGCAGTTTGCCGTCATAGAGGCAGTGCTCGTTTTGACAGGTAGCATCCCCACCTGGGATATGAAAGCTTCAACAGAGAGGAATTATAGGAGGCAAGGCAATCTCCCAGGTTCAAGAAGACAGCATTCGCTCCAAGTGCGACCTACACTTTCAGCACTTCCTTCCGCGACAGCTGAGAGGCAGCACCTGGTTACTTCCTCTAACTCCCTGTGCTCTGTTGATCTGGCTCACACACTAAAGGGGGTTGACTAGATTTGTTTGTTAATTGTGAGACTTGAAATATGACTTACCTGTTTGATCCTTTTGTTTCAAACATTAGGAAAAAGCACTTTCTGAATGAGATAGGTGCTATTTTTTGTACACAAGTAATTTGCTCAGAAAGGGAAAGTGATTTTTCCCAAGATTGTGTAATGGCTGTAGCAAGCTTTGATATTTAAATATTTGAATCAATCTCAGAGAGCATGCTTTTAATTATTACTCTATACTTTCCCATACAGCATAACATTATAATAAATAAAATAATAAATGAGACCACACACATAAGCATATAAAATCATTTCCATTTGTTTCCCGTGTCCAAAATTGAGCCAAAGGGCTTTTTGTGCATTTTATTTATCTATAATCCATTAATTGAATCAATCAATGTTGTTCACTTGCCTGTAATAGATACACACAGGACAGAAACTTGGATATAGAACTTATCATTTAGCTTGCTGTTTCCAGGAGATTAACCTATAATTATATTTAAGGTTAGAATAAACCAATATCCCTTATTAAAATATACATTTTATTAGATTTGATTCTGTAGTTTCCAGCTGAAATGCCATGCACTTAGTATTTTAGAAATCTCACCATTTCGCTTACCCATTTTCTGAAACTTAACATTACTATTTGGAGTTTGGTTTAGGCCTCCCTCGCTGAATTGTTCAGCTAGGGCTGCTGTAACAAAATGATCAGTCTGGGTAATTTGAACTGTAGGAATTTATTTTCTCACAGTTCTGGAGGTTGAGAAGTCCAAGACTGAGATGCTGGCAGGTAGGTTTCATTCTGAGGCCTGTTGTGAAGGTTCATGGGTGGTGGCTACAGTACATCCTTGTGTTACCTTTCTGTGCCCTAGGGAGGGAGAGAGGGAGGAGGCGGGGGGGGGGGGGGGGAGAGGGAGAGAATACACAAGGAAACTGGCATCTCTTCTTGTGAGAACACTAATTAGACCTGCACCCCTTATGATTTCATTTAAGCTTAATAACCCCCATGAAAGCTTTGCCTCCAAGTTACAGTCACATTCAGGGTCAGGTCTTCAACATATGAATTTCGGGGAGACCAAATTCAAGCCATTATGACAGTTTGCAGTATTTGGCATTTGAGAAAGTAAGACTATTTAAAAACCTAGGATGTTAATATTTTCTTAGGACTTTTTTTATTTTTACCAATACAATACTCTTTCATATGTAATCTACTTACTGACACAAATATCCTTTATTTGTTTATACTTTTGCTTCCTCATGACATTCCTGTATGGCTACTCAATGCTACAAGTATCTGTGAATCTTGACTTTTTAAAATTAGAAAGAAATGGGAGCCGGCGCCGTGGCTCAATAGGCTAATCCTCCACCTTGCGGCGCCGGCACACCGGGTTCTAGTCCCGGTTGGGGCGCCGGATTCTGTCCCGGTTGCCCCTCTTCCAGGCCAGCTCTCTGCTATGGCCAGGGAGTGCAGTGGAGGATGGCCCAGGTGCTTGGGCCCTGCACCCCATGGAGACCAGAAAAGCACCTGCTCCTGCTCTGCAGATCAGCGCGGTGCGCCGGCTGCAGCGCGCCATTGGAGGGTGAACCAGCGGCAAAGGAAGACCTTTCTCTCTGTCTCTCTCTCTCACTGTCCACTCTGCCTGTCAAAAAAAAAAAAAAAAAAAAAAAAGAAAGAAATGGGGCCAGAGCGATGGCGCACTAGGTTAATCATCCGCCTGTTGCGCCAGCATCCCATATGGGCACCGGGTTCTATTCCCGGTTGCTCCTCTTCCAGTCAAGCTCTCTGCTGTGGCCTGGGAAGGCAGTGGAGGATGGCCCAGGTGCTTGGGCCCCTGCACCTGCATGGGAGACCAGGAAGAAGCACCTGGCTCCTGGCTTCAGATTGGCGTAGTACTGGCCATGGCGGCCACTTGGGGGGTGAGCCAACGGAAAGGAAGACCTTTCTCTCTGTCTATCTCTCTCATTGTCTGTAATTCTACCTGTCAAATAAATACATAAAAATCTTTAAAAAATATTAGAATTGTTTTTAAAAGTTTTATATTTATAGAGAAACTACACAGACAGTACAGAGTTCCCGAATCTTCCCTCTGTTATACAGTTCCCTCTATTATTAACATTTGTCCTGAGCACATTCTCCATATGAAGTCCATTTTTTACACTGTTTCACCTTGTGTGAGGTAATTTCATGAGCTTTGGAAAATGTATAAAGACGGGTACCCATCATTACAGTAGTCTACAGGATGCTCTCAATTTCCTAAAATAATTTCTGTCACCTGTTTTTTTTTTTAGGTTTCTCCCTCTGCATGCTGGATTCTTTGGTTAGCCATTTCCAGGTCAACTCTTGCCTTTGACACCATTTTACTGTCAGTCATTGCTGTTCTTAAACCCTGTGTGAGGACAGCATTAAGTAAAAGTAGAGAGATGTGAGAACACCTGGCTGTTCAGGGGTGAGGGAACATACACTGGCTTTTAGCATGTGAACCTGAGTAAATTGTCCTGCCTGTTGTACAAGGCCTTATCACAAAAATTGAAATAGGCAGAGTTCAGATATTGTTTGGAGCATTTAAATATTCAGACAATTTACTTAAAATGTATATTAAAATAGAATATTAAAGTTATATCCTGTAGACAACAGAGAGCAATAAATGAATTCAAAGCAAAGAAATAATACGGGAAGATTCGTTTATTTTTTTTTTTCAAAAAAGACATCATAATTCAGAATAAGTTTCAAATGTAGTAAGATTGGGACTAGGGGAATGAAAACATTAAGGAGACTTACCATAGTCTGGTAGCAGACAATAAGGTCCAAACTATAATATCAGTAGTGATATTGAAGAGTGAATAGTTTTAAGAGATGCTAAGGAGTTGGGAGCCATTGTAAATTGAATAGAATTTGAGATGACTGGGTAGATGGTGCATTTGCTGACATAGACGATATATAGCTGATACTTAGAGGCAAAGGATTAGTTTCATGGACTTACTGAGTTTGACATGCCTTCCCCAGAGGGATGCCCAGAGGGGAAGGATGTCCAGCTGAGTATGTCTAGTAGGTGGACAGAGATGTAGATTAGCAGTCCAAGATAGTTTCTGGCAACAAAACATAGCTATCAGAACCTGTAAGATATGTAAGTAGTAGTAGTAGTAGCAGTAGTAGTAGTAGTGGAAGTAGTAGTAGTAATAGCAGCAGCAGCAACTGTGGTAGTTGAAATCATGAAGCTGAGAAGAGAGTCCCTGCGGGTCTCCAGCATTGAATGGGTAAACAGAAGAAAAATCGGCAAAGGAAAAATATGAAAAAAAAAAAAAAAGAGGAAGAGGGCCAAGAGAAAATAATGTGGTATAAAAGTGGTGTCAATGTCTACAGCCAGAAACAGTGCAATTGAAAAAGCTCCCTGGGATTTGGCATTATTAGGGACCTTGGTGAAATCTTTTTTGTTAGAAATAGTTTTTCACATACACTAAATGTGAAGGCAAGTGAACTGGTATGGTAACACAGTTGAGGACAGAACTTTTTTTTTTTTTTTAACAAGAAGCATATGATTAAAGTATGGGGAATAGACAAAGATTATTAAGACAATAAATAAATGATTACCAAATATATAACCAAATAACTGCATTGTAAGTGTTTATAATATCATGTGCATTTAGTGTTATAAACCCAAATTGTGATAGTCTTCATTAGGTATGCCAAAAGTGCAGTTCAACACTCCAAGCTTTACCTATCATAAACACTTGAAGATGATTTGGTGGATTGACTTTGAGTTTCCATTTTCATGCAAATCATCATCCTCTGTGCCTTGGAATAGTTTAGACTCTGATTTGTGCATTTATTTCCTAATGAAGGTCATCGAACACTATTTATTGGAGTTCATGTGCCCCTGGGAGGAAGAAAAAGCCATCGACGTCACAGGCATCGTGGTCATAAACACAGAAAGAGAGACAGAGAAAAAGACTCAGGATTAGAGGATGGAAGGGAGTCACCTTCATTCGGTAAGGATCTTTCTTCTTGTTTTTTTTTTTTTTATTAATTTATTACTGTAATATACTTGTTTTTACAATCCATAATTTGCAGTAATGTTTCATAAAATAGTTTATACTTATATAAAGCACATTGGGCAGACTGGGGAGAAGTAGGAGAGAGAAAGTTTGTTCTTTGTTTTTCTCTTGTGTATCTGCTTTGTCAAGGTGAAAATGAATTTAGATTTATGATACAGGAAGCAAAGTGATGGAGTAAAGCTTAGTTTTTAAACTCTGGATAATTTATACAAGTTATAGTTATTGGTCTAAGATATTTAAAATTCCAGTGGAAAATGCCTTTTTAAAGTTCCCATTTACACTAATGCCAGTGCTGCCTGAATTTCAATCTTAGTACATTCTACTATTTTGAATGTTCTTATTTCTAAAGTATATATTGAATACCAAAAGTGGATTATTGTAGTTATTGCCCATTCCTGAATGCCATGAGAGTCCATGTATATGACATAGCCTGGAACCTGGCTTTCAATGCCTTAAACTTCTCATTACCAGTGACCTTCTCTGTCACTGCACTTAGCTCACTTCCTCACCCATGGCTCCTCCATCTTTGAAGGCACTAATTCAGTCACCTTGCTCTCTCACTATAGCTTCTCTCCTTCTTGCCTGTTTGTCCAACTGCTTAACCTCTCTAATCTTGTTGTCCCTAGTTATGTCATTTTCCCCTTATCTTATTCAGATTTAATAGCCTGTAACTTTAGTAATACTTTTGCTAGTATGCTAAATGCCTTAAATGCCCTGTTTTAGTTTTATGTATACCTTTGCCTGCTCTTTTAAAACCATACTTAATGTTAAGGTTCTCCCATATACCTACTTTTCCTGGCTTCCCTAAACCAACATATTGGGTTAAAAATAGTGATTTAACAGGTTTAATTGTAACCATTATAAGTTCATGTCTCAAGCAAACCTTCAACACTTCCTCCCAATTTTCTTGCATTTATTTTGGTTTTTGAAATACTTATTTTTCAACCTTCTTCACAGTTCTCCATCATCATTATTCAGTATATTACCTTGCTTTCTAGTTTAGAGGGAAATACATTATTAGAAAAAATTTCCATCTTATTAAACATATTGACCTGTATGCCCCCATCTGCCACTATATCCCTTATTATATTTACAGAAAAGAGAGTTTTTCCCCATTATGTTTATTTATTTGCTCTTACCATTTAAGAAGACTTACACAATTTATGGTTGAATTGACCTTGTCAGTTGGATTTTCCTCATCGCTTTTAAATATGATAATCTTTTTTAAACAGATACTCAACCACCCTCAAAACTACATTCCTCTTTTGGCAGTTCAGAGATGAAATAAGTTAATTGCATGTAAAATTTGGTATAAGAATTTTACATTAAATATGCTAAAATATTGGTTTATTGTGTATCTTCACTAAGTGTTGCAAAGAGGTGTATGGTCTTTGATTTTTTTTTTCATTTTTTTAGGCTATGTCTTTTTTTCTTTTTAATTTGACAGATAGAGTTATAGACAGTGAGAAAGACAGAGAGAAAGGTCTTCCTTTCATTGGTTCACTCCCCAAATGGTTGCTTCGGCTGGCACTGTGCCGATCCGAAGCCAGGAGCCAGGTGCTTCTTCCTGGTCTCCCATGTGGGTGCCGGGGCCCAAGCAGTTGGGCCATCCTCTACTGCCCTCCCAGGCCACAGCAGAGAACTGGACTGGAAGAGGAGTAACTGGGGCTAGAACCTGGTGCCCACATGGGATGCTGGCACCACAGGCAGAGGATTAACCAAATGAGCCATGGCGCTGGCCCCTAGGCTATGTCTTTTAAGCCTGAATATGTTTGGATAATTTTCTCTGTCCCATAATTAAGAAAAAAGTTCATAGGATAAGGCTAATGGAAGGTGTGTTAAAAAACATTCTCAGTCTACACAAACTCATATATTTTTTTTTACTTGGGGAGTATTGTCCTGTTATAGGCAGTTCTGTTCCATTTGCTTTGTTGTCCTCTTCATGAATATTAATCATATGAGTTATCTGCATATTGGATTTCTGATGTTCTTCTGTGGTTTGAAAGGCAGTCTCTCATATTATCATTTAACTATCTGTTAATGTTGATTTTTGCATTTTCTTGAATTTCTTTCTTATCTCCTATTTTCTTACATTTATTTCTGTCCTTTACTAATATCTTTTTGCTTTTCTGATGGATAGTCAAAGTTTTTAGATCCTATTGAGGATCCCTAGGTTTTTATTGGCATTTTCTTTTTGTGCTGAAGTAGGTAATTTACAGAGCTATGGTCATCCTATTGTAGTATATTTATAAAATCCTATTTTTTTCTTTTTAAACTAGACATAAGTGTATTCATGTTATATCATTCCAGCTATGTGCAAAGATTGCTTTGAGAAGCTGCTACTGGTATGCTCCTTTGTTTAGTTACAGGCATTAAACTTCTCTAAATGCTGCATACAAAGATACTTAAAAATGTTAGTGGAAAATGGAATTAAAAGATGTTTATTTTGTGTAAAAATATTTTCAATCCATGAAATCCATATTATGAAAAAAGTTTCTGTGAACATGTTTGAGGATCATTTGAATGCATGGATTTCAAAGTTGTTTTACCACAAAATAAACTCATTTTTAAATTCCATTTTCCACAAACCTTTTGAAGTACCCTCCTGCTTCTACCAGGAGTAGATGTTTGCTGGTAGGGAAAGTGAAAAGAAAAGTTGTCTGGATGTCCTGTACTCATATGTTAGAAGAGTGGTTGTCACTGAGTCAGTGAGCCAACATTAGAGGATGGGCCAAATGGCTCCCACAACTTCTGGTGTTTTACATTTTTTGAGGTAGGGTTGGGAGTGTAATGAAGAGACAACTGGGTAGACTTATTTCTTTCAAGCTCCATCTGCTTATAGTTAGTCAAAACTCCCTCTTAGATTCCAGGAATGGATTAAGATTTAATGGTAGTTTCATCATCTAACATTTGAAAAATATATTCATATAATCTCAGAAGTATTAATAAACAAATTAAAATAAGATATATATATATATATATATCACCATTTGCTTCTTCCCTCTGCTCTGTCTTCTTTTTTTCCCCATAGCTGGATGCATTATGTCAGTTTTTCTATGATAGTGGTTATCAATATTGACTGTGCTCAAGAGTTCTAAAAACAGTGATACTCAAGCTCTATGCATGGGTGTTTTTACAAAAGTACCCTCAGTTGATTCTACTGTGCAGCTAAGGTCAAGAAACTTAGCTACTCAAAGTGTGGCCCATGAACCAGAAATATTGGCATCACATTTGAGCGTGGTGAAAATGCAGAATCTTGAATCAGAGTCTGTATACTAACAGTATTCTTAGGTAACTTGTATACTTGTTAAAATTTGACAAGTAGTCATTGGAAACTTTGTCAAACCATGTTGCATATTAAAATACTTTGAGGAGCTCTTAAAAATTACTGGTTCTGGGTCCCACCCTCAAAGACTTCTTTAGTTAATCCTGGGTGTTTTCCTAAAATGTACCTCAGGTGATTTAACATCCAAGTAGGATCAAGAGCCATTGATCCGAAGAAGCTTCTGCCTCTTCATTTGCTGAGACTTGGAAACAGGTCAGGTGGCCCAGATTCTCTCTCTAATGTGTCAGCCACTATTTTTGGATGCCAACTACTTCCTTTCCTCCCTCACCATCTGAGTATCTTTATTGACATTTAGAACTAAGATCTGTGTTTTTTTTTTTTCAGGGACAAATGTCTGCCACCCTAGTGATCTCTAAGTAGTAGAACTTCCTAGATTTTACTTAAAATATTTTTCCTTAAGAACTAATCTGTCTTTATCTGTGTTCCATGGACAGTTCAGTTGTCTTGATAATCAAGTAGTCACATTCTGAGACTGCAACTATGTCTTAAACACCACCCCACTTGATTTGTTTCTTGATATTCTACATAGAGAGGATATATGGGATTTCTATGCTGAAAGCGTCAAAGAAAAATTTCTGGCCACTTAAATATTAATTTTACTAGGAAGGATCATAAATAAAATTTTACAAAGGAATTCCTACAAATTTTTAAGAATTCAGCTGTCAGAGATAGGATAGAAGGAAATTCAAAGAAGCCTCAGTTTTCTCTGCTGGGGATCTGGAAATTTTAGGTGGTAGATTCAAGTTTGGATCTGTGAAGACATGGATTAATTTGGGTCCAAATCTCTGCAGAAAGCATCAATTTACAAAAAAGACTTTTGAGGAAATGTTTCAATTTTGTCACTCTTCAAAAGTTTTGTTGCACACAAAGACATCAGCAGAGTCGTATTTTGTTATATGACCCAATCATATAATTCAGTGTTATTAGGAGCCTGACTATGCTAGCACTGAATTCACGTTAAAGAGTGGGTCTTTATTATAGCCCAAAGAGATTATGCTTATGTCACAGATTGCAATGACTGAGTCCAAAGACAGATCCAGCTTTCAGCTGAGTGTTAAAAGTGGTGGTGATGTTCTGACTTTAGGCAAAGCTCTTAATACCGTCAAGTGCGTTAAACCTACTTTTGCTATTGCATTTAATAAATACTCATTCAGTAGTTCACTTACAGAAGTGATCATCAGAAGGCTTCTAAAATTTTGCAATTATTTTTAACATCAAACCTTATTGACCCTCTATAATTTCAAAGTATGCTTTCAACTGAGAACAGGAATGAGCTCTTAAAAATGCAAGTTGAAGCATAAACTTGAAATTGGTGAAAATGTGAGGGAATCAGGGAAATTCAGAACACTTTAATGTTGATTTTTTTTCCTCAGCCTCCCAGCCAACAATATAAAAGGAAAGCTGATAGGATAATACCAATTATCATTAGCTGACCTGTAAGCAGTAGAATAAACAAAAAAGAGACTGTATTAAATGCTTGTTTAAAATATGATACACAAAGACACTGTGTAAATTAGTATAATTCTGGAACTATACAAAAATTTTCCAATATTAGTAACTTGTACAAATACTTCAACAGAAATTAAAA